TTTTTGATATATTAGAAAATACAATATTTAAGCAGGCCAAATTGTATTTATGACCTCTAAAAATTCTTAGGACATCTTATCCTAAAAGAAGTAATTATTAATGTAATAAGTATATTATGAATGTAATAAGCATATTGTGTTTGGTACCTAGTTGGGTAATGAAATGTCTGCAAGCAACTAAGCTCAGAGAGCACCAAGATCTCCAAGTTCAACTCTGAGCTACAGATATTCTCGTCTATTAGGATAAGTATATTTGCTCGTTAATGGCTGAAATAAAGGCCTAGTGTCCTATTATATGAAAAGTCATTTAACATGGAGACCAGAAATAAAGAACTAAAGTTGCTATATTATGCTGGCGAATATGTTATAGCAACCTACCTTTATTAAGCAAAGAGTATTAAATATGTAAATTTAGAAGGCTTCAGTATTATACAAATCTATCTGAGAATAAGGCAGACTGAATTTAGTGCTGGAATTACATGCTCCACTAAATCATAAAATTATATGGTTAGCGATGTGTGAGATGTGGTTTATGGCTTAAAGTCAACCAGGCCATTATGGCTTGTTCAAATTGATTAAATCAAATCATGGCTTAGCACAACATGTGAAACTAGCTATACTTTTAAGAGGCAACATAGATAGGATTGCACTGGATTCACATCACTTCCAAATAAAGGTTACTCTGTGGCATTCATAAATGTAAAATTCCATTAATATATTAAAAAAATTAAAATTTAAAATTTAATTAAAATTAAAATTTAATATACTCCATTAATATATTTAAAAAAATTAAAAAGTTGCCCTTGAGTGTAGTTCTCCTCCTCTGTTTTTTAGCAAGAACTTTAAAAAATGCAAAGAATTTCATCTAGAACTCATTTAGTTATTCAGTTAATTGGTTTAGAATTAACAGTCTTCAGTTCATTTTAAGTTTCAGCTAATCAAGCAAAATGAAAGTCATTATCTGACTTTATCTAATTTCTGGTCTTTATTTGATTATTTATTTATAAGCTTCCATACAATTTTTCACAAGTTTGAGCTGGGGAGAATACAAATTAAAACGCTTAAAGAATTAAAGAAATCCCCAATACCCGTGATGACTAAATGCCTATGCAAATCTAACTAACCCTTTTTCTTAAATCATTCCAGCTGTAGAAATGAATGTAAAGAGTTGACATTGCTGGATTCACACAGGTTCATGGTTTGTTGAACTATGGTTTGTTCTTGAACTGCCTATATATAATAAATTATAATATGCCAAGACAAAAGTTATCGTTTATAAACTACAGTGGCTGTTCTCGCACATTATGCTAAGTATGCCAAAGCCAAACCAAAGAAAGCACAATGATTTGTAGATAAACATGCATGATAGCACAAATGAAGCTGTGAGCTGGGATGCTAAATAGAAAGAAGGTATAGAAAACTAGGACCATGTAGATAAACTGAGGAACTGAGAAAAATTGGGCTGGAAGTACAATGGAGGTGAAGAAAAAGGAGATCTGGAAAGGACCACACACTTTGACCTAGTTCACACCTTGTACTAAAGAACTATTTGCTTAACTCTGACTTGTTGCAAATAGGTTAAAATTGGCTGAGTTAACACATCAGGTTAAACTAGATATGGTTTACTCAAAGCATGGTTAAGAAAAATTGTGGCTTAACCAAGTGAATGAGCTCAGCTGCGATTACAGTGTTGGGATAAGAAAGGAAAGGTTATGGCGTGCTGAGAAAGCCATATGTGAAGAATATGTGACTTTAATGCATGTTCATTAAAGAATATGTGACTTTAATGCATGTTCATTTTTCATCTGATGTCAGTTTTGTATGTAGCAAAGACATGTTGTTGCTGATGTTTACTTATTCTGGTTAAAGCATGGCATACTTGACTCTACAGCAACCTATCATAAGTCATACATTTAAGGTGCTTTAGAGGGCAGGAACCTTTATACTGCCTCATAACTTCTTTGTTCCAAGAGAAGTGGCCAGAGTTGTGTTTATAGTCAAGCTATAAATTTCCCAGACTGTACTTAGGTTTTCAGTAGTGTAGTTCACTGTAGGTTTCTAGCTAACTGAAATGAAGACATAGGCATTTCTTCATTCTGTATCAACCACAGGGAGGTACTGCCTTCCTTAGCTGAACCAGAATAAATTGTTCTCAGAACTGTCCTCTTCTCTTCTCTTCACCTCAACTAAAACTTGCTCCAATGCTTCACAAAAGATGTTGTGATAACTTTTTTTTTTTAATCTTTCTGGCTGCCAGAATTAACTATGCTTTAAGGCTGGAGTTTTCAAACTATGTTTTGCAGAAACCTGATGGGGTTCTGTGAGAGACTAAGGGCAAAAAAAGTGGGGAGCATCCATAGCAATTTTTCTAAGGCACAGTGGAAAGGGCAACATTCAAACCACCACTCTCACTGGTGCTTATGGCAACTCATCACTCTCATGCATGTCTGAGAGGCAGGCAGCAGGGTAGAAAGCAAGAAAGCAAGAAAGAAAGCAAGAAATTTATATATATATATATATATAACTAACATGTTCCACCACCTGGAAAAATTTCCTGCTTCAAGGAATTGGATCTTGTCCATCACTGATTGTCACATCATGCTACATTCTCCAACATGGCACCAATATGATGTCTACCAGACTGTAATGCTTTTAAGGTTGATATGCTAAAATGCCAAACTTCAGCCTCTAACATAATTTTACTTCGAGTAAAGCCTCTCAAATCCACACAGAACCCATAAACATTCTTAAGTATATAAAAAAGAGGGATGATTGCAGTTCATTGTTCTGAAGTGCCTCCATCTGCTCAGAAAAAGAAACAAAAGTAAAATGGGAATTTGAGGGAACATCTTGGGGAACTACAGGAATACGAGAAAGCAACACTCATTTAATTTCTTGTGGGCTTATCTGACCTTGGTTAACCTCATAAAGCTAAGCAGGATTGGACCTTGCTATCATTTGTATAGAAGGGCAGGGAAACCTAAGGCAGCTGTGGCAAGCCACCTCTTTATTGTTTCCATGAAAATTACACGGGTTCGCTATACATTCAATGGAGTTGAACCTAATTCAAAGGAGAGTTTATTGAGTGCTCTATGATCCATCACAATTGCCCCCAGCAGCCTTTTTGTGGGATTATTTATGGCATGCTTTCAACATTTCATAGGTGCTCATTGTGGACCAAAAGGATTGGGGACTTTTGGGCTAAGATATAAGGTTTGTTTAGTTTTGGTTAAGTGTGTTGTCAACTAACCCACCATTGTTTGTACACTATGGTTTATGGCTTAGAGTGTTGGGTGAAGCTATTCATTATTGTTCATTCAAGCAAACCATGGCTTATGAATTCCCTGAATTAATCCATATTTCTTGCATGGCAAAATGATAAAATTTCTACATATCCCAAATCACCGTGTCTTAAAATAGCTGGCTCTGCAACCAACACAACTTTGTTGAGTCTGCAGTCCTGGACTTAATCCTAAATAATGCCTAAGCTTAATACCAATTGTGATTGAACCAGTTGCAAAGTGTAATTAGAAAGCTATTGAATAAGCATAATATATGTGTAAGTGAATTCATTTTATTTGAACAGGATTTTTTTGAAAAAAAGAGAATGTTTAAAAAGGAAGTTGAAAGGAAATGTTATGTGATTCAAAGCTCTCCGGAATGTTCAAAAGCACAATAATAGCTCAATTCCCATGTAGCCCATAGTTCAGGAAAGACATTCACTGATCTAGTTCAACACTGTGTTAAGTAATTGATTTATTAGGGAAACCATGATTGTTGCTATAAACCTTGATTTATAAATCACAATGGCAGCATTCACAAATCATCATACAAAACCAAAGCCAATAGGGCATTGTGAACAAGCCCACAAAATCCAGAAGTTCTGTATGGTTAACAAGCAATGTAAATGGGAGCTGAAATAGAAATCATGACCAAACTAGGAGGAAAAATGAGGAATACAACCCCTTAAAGTTGCTAAAGTTGAAAAACACCGGGCTATAGGATTATAGCCTAAAGTTCATCTGGAATCCCACATCGCAGAATCAACAGTACTTACACCAGAGTAGATATTATAAAATTGTTCTGTTGTTATCCTATACTTAAACTGACTCTCATACAAGGATCCTATGGAATTTTGATACCTATCCTCCATCTACAATTATCATGATGTTGTTGTTCAGTCGTTAAGTCGTGTCCGACTCTTCGTGGCCCCATGAACCATATCGTGCCAGGCCTTCCTGTCCTTCACTGCCTCCCTG